ATGAAAATATTTTCACTGCCAAAAAGAAATGAAAATGAGAATATTCGATGATTGGGAATTAAGTGTGGACGTTGATTTGGTGTTATGGATAAGAAATATAAAATTTATTTTAAATCCCACAAAATACAAGAAATTATATTTAAAAAAATTATAAAATATTTAAGATACGCGTGTCGGACACGCGTGTCCAATTTGCATTAAATATTTTTTAATCGGACACGTTTGCGGCGTGTCTGACACGTGTCGGAGGAGTGTCGGACGAGTGTCATGTCGGACAAGATGTCGGACACTGCACGCCTCTTTGAGGAGAAGTGTCGGTGCATCATAGTTAAGCAACTGTTAGCTAAAAAGCAACCCAATTAATAGTTAATTTTGATTGACTCTGCACAAGAACCATGATGTATAAGAAAAAAATAAAAAAATTAATACATAAATTATTGCAACAGTCAAATAAGAGAATGAGCATCCAACATAACTATGTAAAAGGGGAATAATTGACAGGTACTTAAGGTTTACCTAGTACCTTTTCAATATCTACATAATGTTTAGGAAGATCTGTTAATCGCATAAGAAAGCAGAAGTAAATCAAGAGGATATGGGTTGAGGAAGAATAAAAAGAAGTCAACTGTAGACAAGAATATTTGGTCAAAGGTTTTTTATTAGTACTAGGTCAAATTTTTTAATAATTTCATGGAGAACAAAATAAGGGGAAAAACCCACAAGGCTGGCTTAGAGATTTTGTGGTTCTATAGAAGTATAAATAAGGACCAACAATGAAAATGGGATGTTTAATCACATGCAATTATGCAATGAAATACATCGTTTGTGATTTGTTGGTTTTATATAAGTAGAAATAAAGACTATCAATCTTTGCCTGTATATCTCAAGGCTAGATAAAAAAAGTTTTGGAGTGATATACATTAAAAAACCAGTATTTTCAGTCCCAATCCCAAAAAGAAAAGTTGAGGACTAATATTAGATTAACAACCGAGCATAAAACTTATGCAAAAGTTAATGAAATCAATTCAAAGTCAAATTTTATTAATGCTATGATGCTCCCTAGAAGGAGCACACTGCGACTTAACTTTGATTATAGTGAGAAGTAGGCACACCACAATTTTAAACCAATTACAATGAAAGTTGGGCAAGTCTTGTGTAGGATGTAACCCTTCAGATATATACAACTTAACTTATTTGTCATGAAAAGTAAGCAAGGGTTGAGTAGATCTAAATTTAAGATCAGATTTTTCTACATGCAATTTTGGGACTTTAAATGAGATGTCAAAATAATTGGTAGACACAATGATTAGAGGAAGAATAAATACTGCTTGTTTAAAGAAAATAAGTGCAAGGCAAAAAAAAAGGAATAAAGATTATATATTGATATATGTTGAAAATGTGAATAATAGAAATAGTACAAAAGAAAATTGAAAGATAAAATTGTTGAGATGAATAAGGTTAGTGATAGATTGACTATATTTCAGATAATTGTCAATGAAAACATTATAAATGATCTTAGTGCTTATACTTCACAAAGAGTATAGTGAAGTATAAAGTAGCTAAGACAAGATATAAGAGAATTAGATATTTTAATCAAAATAGAGACATTAGAAGCAAATAAAGGGCCTTATTAAAGTTGAATACACAAAGAAAAAGGAAAATATTGCCTTCAAAAACTATTAAATAAAAGTTTTAACAAAAAAATTGTATTTACTAATATTAACAAAAGACTAGCGATTTCACCAAGAATAAATCTTCACCTTTAAATTTCAAAAAGAAATACTAGCACTTCATATCTCCCATATTTTCTATATACCTCATATCAAATTTTAAGTATATCTATTATTTCAGACACTTCTCATGTACAAAAAGACTTTCCCATATAATGATGTGTCAATAGCTACACAACAGTTAAATAGGCACTTGAATCTCTTAACCCCTAAACTCCATCTTTGTTTCCAAGACAATTATAGATTCCAAACTATTATTATAACTTCCCACCATCAATTTATTTTGGAACTAAAGATATCTTGCAAATATATACACATGTGTCTATTTTTTAATGTATCTTTATGGGATACATTTGATTAGGCTAATTAATCTCCTAAATTTCTTTAAATAAACAAGCTTGAAAAATTATGTGTTCAATTCATTTATATTCATGAACAACATAGTTTCAAGCTCGTGAATAGGCTTCATATGAAGCTTGATAAGAAGCTCATTAAGAAGCTTGATTCCTATTCGATGCAAAGATCGAGAACAAACTTGTTAATAAGTAGTGTTTGGAACTAAATATATTTCTTAAGATTAGTTTAAAACTTTATTTGATATATTTTCACATAATTTTACGTTTTATTATAACAATTAATTATTATTTTATAAAAATTAATTTCATTTTTTATGTTATACCCTTTCATTAGAATGAATTTGTTCATGAATAAGAAATATTTGTTCATGTTTGTTGAATTATTTGTTTAAGGTGTTCATGAACAAGCTTCTTTATAAGAAGAATCATTAATGAGCTCATTTGTTTGTGAATATACTTGTTTAGTACCTAGGAAATATTCAGTGGATAAGTTCAAGAATGAACTCGTTTGGTAGTTCGAAAACACTGGCTAGATATATTTGCGAACAATCTCTATAACAATTATTTATTAGTATGCTCGATAAAATTCGTTTGTTTAAAGCTCGTTAAGCACGAATGAACCGAATATAAACCAAACATGAACATCTTTCATTTTAAACTAACCAAGCTTGAACACAAATAGAAAAGCTCAAATCGAGCTTGAACTAAGCTTGAACACAAATAATAAAGCTCGAACTAAGCATGAACAAGCTGATAATAAACAAGTTAAAACATGAATAAGTATCTGCTCGGCTCCGCTTGGTTCATGTGCATCCCAAAAAAAACTATTAGACAAATTGAAGTTAGTAGAACTAACTAGTCTTGTAATCTTAACTAAATATAAGCTGTTTTGTATTGATTTCATAAAATATTATGAAATCTAGGTCATATTTCAATGGACAAGCCTAAAACATCCTACTATCATTAACATAATAATTTGAGATAGCCTCAAAGATTAATAAGGTAATTTGATGAAGAATGTGGTATATTAGCAACACTAAAAATGAGAGGCTCAAGATTCAATGGTTCGACTAACTAATAATATTAAAATTATTCCAATAATACCTAAATTACATAAAAATAATATGATAATTATGCAATAATATAAATATGCGAGTTAAAAATGAACACAATTTACACATAATCTTATTTTTTGTAATTTTAAATTTAAATTTCTTCAATTGATTCATATTTAATAAAATATTTATTCAAATATAAACTTACAAATTATATATAAATTATTACTAATTTATATTATATGTTTAGATATAATTCACACTATAAATCTAATATAGTGAGAATACCATTATAAATTTGGATATTATATATATATATAATCATATATAGATCATTTATCATATAAATACTTAAATAATCAATTTATATAGTGCATTTATTAAATTAAATAATTAATAATATATAACTAAAAAATAACATATTATACACATTCTAAAAAAATAAATATGAAACTTGTATGAGAAATGAATATAGTATGTTTTTAGTGGAATTTTAGAACTTCAATTTAGTTATTTTGTTTCTACATCACTTAAAGCTTTCCTAGTATTATTATATTAACTATTTAGGTTTGCAAGCTAAGAAATCATATGACATGGTGGAGCTGACAAATGCCAATTAGTTGGTGCTTCTTTGCCAAATGTTTATTCGAGAAATTTAATGCTTATTAAAAAATTAAATATATTTAATTTAAATTAATTTGTTAAGAATAATTTATTTAATATATTATAAAATTTATTAAATTAATATAAATGATTTAAGTAGTTCAATTGAATGGCTGGATTTCAAAAACAATGATTGGCTTGCCGATTGCCCGATCGAACCGATGGTTCGCTCTAATTTTAACTAGCAATACTAATATGGTCCTTGGTCTTGAATGGATTGGTAACCTGATCGTTTCTCTATTCAACAGGTTGAACCGACTGGTCTAATCTGATTTTTAAAACACTCTCATAATAAGTAGTTAATAATAAGTATGAATAAGTGTTAGTTAAAAGTTAACAATAATTAGAGTGCCTATTATATGATAAATGGCAATTAGAGACTAATTGCACCTAAGTTATAAATAGAAATTGCCATTGATATCTAATTAGAAACAAAGAATGATATCAATTAGTTACAATTTAGAATTAGTTACTAGCAAATAAATATTAGATAGATAATTGCAATTGCTAGCAATTAACTTATAAACAGAAATAATGCAAAGGATAACACGTGAACTAAAATTTGAACGGACTAATTCCCAAAAGCTAAACTCCAGATATTTAACCCAAAGCCATCGGGAAACTAGATTGGAATAAGATGTATATCTTTATATTACAAGATATATTCCAAATTAGTTAGCCTCAATAATTAAATAACCTTCTTTTTTGGTCTGGACTAGGAAGTGAATGGAAAAAAAAAACACTTGGAAAATGGGGCTCGTTATCTTGTTGGTTTTTAATTTCAAAGGGATTTCTGAAGCCTGGGACAAAGAGCACATCAACTTAAGCAATAACAACCCTATAATATGTTTTGAAGTTTACAGCATGGAAAAAGCTCAAGAACAAAGCTAACTACCCTCGAAAGATTAGTCTCACGGGACTTAAAAAATTATATACACAACGAAGTTCATTCGCTATTCTGAGCGTTAACTTTTCTTTGTAGTTATTCTCTATTTTGAACATCAACTTTTATCAAGTTCCTGAAATTTCAACAAAACGCAAATGAAAGTTATGTAGAAAGATTAAAGAACCTAATCCCATAAGAAGGAAACACACCCAACCCACAGAAAACAATGACATCCCAATCTTTAACCAAAGAATCAAGGACAAGTTTTCATGTCTTGAAGAGTACCGCATATCTACTGCTAAACACTTACCGTTCGGCACGAGAATTACGCTTCTCCTCTTCAGAAAGTTGAACTGGCACTCCGAAGCGCTCGGCGCGGCGAATCTTTTTCTCGAGGCTTGAAGCTGGCCGCGTAGTCTCCGGAGCGGCGACTTCCGAAGGGGAGGTACTCGAATCTAAGGACTTCTCCGCCATGAACTTGCTTGCTTCTACGGCGTCTCCCTGAAAGGTCACGACTGCGGCGCGGAAGAGAGAAGTGGAAGCCTGGAAGGGAAGGTGAGTGGAGAGATCTAGGGTTTTATTCGGGGTTTCTTTTCTCTGCACTTCCCGAGTGAGGCACTTCCCGAGTGATCGAGCGAGCGTTTAGAAAATAATTTAAGTTTGGTATTTTATATATATATATATATAATTATATATATATAATTGCCTCCTGTCTTTGCAGGAGAGTATAAAAGAGATCCCCCACTTTATAGGATGATATATATATAAATTGCCTCCTGTATTACAGGAAGATATGACAGATGTCTCCCAGCTTGCAAGAGAACATCTGAAATCATTTTTTCTTTGCATTATAGACATATATAAATTATCTCTTATAGTATAGGAGGATATGCAGGGTATAATAATAATAATAATAAAAGGCAAGTTATAAGCGTCGAGTATTTACATAATATATACGTATATATTGAACTTGGCATAGTTGAAATAATTATATTAATGTCATCAAATATAAATGATGCCCCTTTTTCTACAATTTGGTAATATGTTAATATAATATGATATATTTTTAAAAAATAAATATGTGGTGGAAAGTGGCATGGGAGACTATAGGTCATCAAGTGCAACATAAATCTTGGTGTTGATATCAAGAGTTATCGTTGGTGTTGATTGTGTATATAAGCCTTACAAGAAGTGATATGCATCAACTTTGTTGATGACGACATACACCAAAATCAAAGAGCAACAGTGTAGTCAAGAGACCATAATCAAAAAACTGTGATTAGGTGACCGTGATTAGAAAATTGTAATCATATTATAGCGGTATGAGGTTCTCTATTAACCGAAAGTAACCAGAGGATCATAATAAGATACTGATGATTGGGGGTGGGCGTAGTTGGGTATAATGGTAGGAAGATTGTGATTAGGTTGTCAATGGATAATAGTATGATAATCATTGTTAAGGGATCTTAATTGAGCATAGTGGTTGGACGACCATATTTGAAGGCTGATAATCGAAGGCTATAATGAGGCGACAGTGATTGATGGATGTGGACTAAAGTTAGATGACGGCGGTTGGATGGCCATAATAAAGAGAAGGTTTTTAAAGGACCATAGTCGGACTAAATGATCATCAGATCGTAGTTGGGCGATGGTAGTCCTAGGGCGGAGATCAAATGACCATGATTAGACAACACTGATTGGACTAACATGGTACGACATTTGTTGTCGAACTATTATGTTTTGATGGTGATGGTTGGATGGTGGTAGTCTATTGGTGGTCGTTTGCCAACGATGGTCCGAGAGTAGTAATCGAAGGAAGGTGATTTTATGGAGTTTTTGGATTCTGTATGCCTTTGAGCAATCTTGAATCGTAATACAAGGATCCCCCTGCATGTTAAGAATGGAGGCCCATGCCCTATAATAATGCAGCTTGACATCTAAACAAAAATATTGTAATATTATATAAAAAATAAAAAATTCTATAATGTTTTTGAATATGATGCAACTTATTTTTTGCCAAGTTTTCAATTGATGACGACATAAACCAAAATCTAAGAGCAACGGTGTAGTCAAAAGATTGTGATTAGGTGACCGTGATTAGAAAATTGTAATCATACTATAGTTGTATGAGGATCGCTATTAATCGAAAGTAATTGAAGGATCATAATAAGATATTGATGATTGGGGGTGGGGGCATAGTTGGGTATAATGGTAGGAAGATTGTGATTAGGTTGTCAAAGGATAGTAGTATGGTAATATTAGTTGAAGGATCTTAATTGAGCATAGTGGTTGGACGACTATATTTGAAGGCTGATAATCGAAGGCTATAATGAGGCGACAATGATTGATGGACGTGGACTAAAGTCAGATGACGACGATTGGATGACCATAATAAAGAGAAGGTTTTTAAAGGACCATAGTTGGACTAAATGATCATCAAATCGTAGTTGGGTGATGGTAGTCCTAGGGCGGAGATCAAATGACCATGATTAGACAACACTGGTTGGACTAACATGGTACGACATTTGTTGTCGAACTATTTTGTTTTGATGGTGATGGTTGGATGGTGGTAGTCTATTGGTGGTCGTTTTCCAACAGTGGTCCGAGAGTAGTAATCGAAGGAAGGTGATTTTATGGAGTTTTTGGATTCTGTAGGCCTTTGAGCAATCTTGAATCGTAATACAAGGATCCCCCTGCATGTTAAGAATGGAGGCCCATGCCCTATAATAATGCAGCATGACATCTAAACAAAAATATTATAATATTATATAAAATAACAAAAAATTCTATAATGTTTTTGAATATGATGCAACTTATTTTTTGCCAAGTTTTCAATTGATGACGACATGCACCAAAATCTAAGAGCAACGATGTTGTCAAAAGATTGTGATTAGGTGACAGTGATTAGAAAATTGTAATCATACTATAGTGGTATGAGGATCGCTATTAACTGAAAGTAATCGAAGGATCATAATAAGATATTGATGATTAGCGGTGGGGGCGTAGTTGGGTATAATGGTAGGAATATTGTGATTAGGTTGTTAGAGGATAGTAGTATGGTAATCATAGTTGAAGGATCTTAATTGAGCATAGTGGTTGGAGGACTATATTTGAAGGTTGATAATCGAAGGCTATAATCAGCGACAATGATTGATGGACGTGGACTAAAGTTAGATGACGACGATTGGATGACCATAATAAAGAGAAGGTTTTCAAAGGACCATAGTCGGACTAAACGATCATTAGATCGTAGTTGGGTGATGATAGTCCTAGGGCGGAGATCAAATGACCATGATTAGACAACAATGGTTGGACGAACATGGTACGACATTTGTTGTCAAACTATTATGTTTTGATGGTGATGGTTGGATGGTGATAGTCTATTGGTGGTCGTTTTCCAACGGTGGTCCGAGAGTAGTAATCGAAGGAAGGTGATTTTATGGAGTTTTTGGATTATGTAGGCCTTTGAGCTATCTTGAATCGTAATACAAGGACCCCCTGCATGTTAAGAATGGAGGCCCATGCCCTATAATATTGCAGCATGACATTTAAACATATTGTAATATTATATAAAATAACAAATAATTTTATAATATTTTTTAATATGATGCAACTTATTTTTTGCCAAGTTTTCAATTGAACCAACACAAAATTTTCATGTGGAGTAATCTTAATAGAACAGTGCCTCCAATCTTCTAGATCTAGTAATATGGCAGTTTTGAAGGATATGATTTTATTCATGATTACATATTAAAATAATAGTTTTTTTTAGGTTTGATGCATCATCAAAAAATTATCTTGATGGGGCACGAATCTTGATGCAAAATAAAATTGGAAGCTTCAAAAATTAAAATTGGGACCATTCGAACTCCGATTTAACAAACTTATTGTTGAACTGAATGTATTGAGAATACGAACCCAACGACACCAAATCCAACCCAATCCGAGCCCAAATGGGTCCAAATCAAGGGTTAGAAGTGTTGTTGTGAGGTTCGAACCACAATTTGGATTACCAAATGGTTTCCAAACATACTGTGATTATAGTCGAATCGAGCGTCTTGGCGAGAGGAATCCAACGAGCCCAAGATCACCAAATTCCGACATCACTAAGACATTCAAATGTCCATCAAACGATCCATGATCAATGGATTCAACATCGGACATCCATCCAACCACTCCCCATTTGCCCTTGATATTCTACCTATTCACGGGCTATGACACTCCAAGAAATATAATGGTCTTTCTAACCCTGGTGACCCCAAGCCAAAAGGATTCAAGAGAGAGATCAGAATCGCTCTTGCCTCCTTGCTCCTCCTCGACCACCGCTTGAGTTTCGTCGGACCACTGCCTGACGTCGTTGCTCCGTCGGACCACCATTTGATCCCCTCATATGTGTCGAACCACCACTTGATTCCCTGAGCTTCACCAAACCACCACTTAAGGCCCCGAGCTCCGTCGGACCACCACTTGAGGCCCTCACCTTCGTCGGACCACCACTTGATGCCCTCACCTCCGTCAGACCACCACTTGAGGCCCTAAGCTTCGCCGGACCACCACTTAAGGCCCTGAGCACCGCCAGACCATCACTTGGGACCCTGAGCTTTGCCAGACCACCACTTGAGGCCCAGACTTCTGCCGGGCCACCCCCTAACACCCAGAGTTCTATCAGAGTACCGCCATACTACTACGGTCTTTCAGACCCCTGTCCTTCCGACCTCCATCACTAGATAATGGTTTTTCAAACCCCTGTCTCCTTCCGACTATGATCCTTCCGACCTCCGTTGCCTATTATAGTCTTTCCGACCTACATCACCAGACAATGGTCTTTCTAACCCTGGTCTCCTGCCTACTACGATCTTTCTGACCTCTATCTTATTAAATATAGTCCTGCAAGCCATACAAACATGTCTATGTTAATTATTGTAACTCCCACCATGTAATGTGCTCTATATGATGTATATTTGTGGCATCAAGTCAAGGCCTTCTCCCAAGGAAGGGCCTCATTTGTAATCGACAGCAAATACTAGTGGATTCATTCAAACTGGGACAGACCCCATGGTTTTTCGCCCTTTTCATGGGTTTCCACGTAAAAACTCTGGTGTCTCTTATTAACGCTACACCCTCTCTCTTATCTGCTTGTGTGCTGGATCATCGTAAAACGCTAAGACGTTAAACTATATATTTTCTATCGCCGTGAATATTCCAGGACGCAACAAGGTTGAACAACACCAACCATATTACTAGGAAGGTTTACACCAAGGTTTTTTTGTTTGAAGATAAAATAATGTAAAGTATTTCTAGGTTTTGAGAATATTAGTATTTGGTTTGAAGTAAAATAAATGCAATGTAAAATTTTGACCCATTTAGAATTCACCCTCTAGTTGATTTTTAATGTATTTGAAATTCCTCAAATTTTGACGAGTTCTAAATCCACCGAAAGTTCATTGCAATTACTGCTAACCGTTGTCGCTATGCACCTGCCACAAGCAACTAGCCACTGTTGCCGCCGATCATTACCTGCTAACCGTTGTTGCTATGCCCTTCTATACTATATTTCTTTTTTAGCTAACCAAATAACCCCTAAATCATACTTGATAGACCTAAAACTATAGAATGTGTTTTAATGAGTAATATCAGTCTAATATAGAAAAGAACAAGACTCCCACGTAATCACATATTACATACATTTGTAATCGAGACTGAAATAAGCGTATTATTGAGCTTTAATCAAGTTTAATAACAAGATTATTTGTCAGCTTTAAATGATACTATTTATGAACATAAACAAATCGAACAAGAAGCTATTCAGGCTTATGTATTTTTTCTATCAAGTCATTATGAATGAGCTGCTTCTTATGCAAATTTATGTTTTCAGTGCTTATAGAAATTTTTTTGGCTAGAAAGTTGTTTTCTGCAACAATTTTATAACTACCTTTATAAAAAGTTGTAGCTGTCCCAAACAAAACCTATGTTGGAGAATTTATTTATTAACCAATAAGTTCAAAATATCAAATAGATAATTTGATTATAGCTAGAGGAGATCTTGTTTTTTATGAATTAAAAATTAAATGTAAAAGAGATTAATTTCTTCTATGTCTACTTACTCATTCCTTATATTTTAATAATGTAGACTATGTTTTTAGCATGAATAATAATTTAATTTTTATTTCCTAACTATTACATACATGGTAGAATGGCATTATTTAAGCCTAATAAAAATTTGAATCTTTGTTAAGGCCGCTATTTATAATGGATTACCGCTAAAAGAAGGAAAATATTAAGCTCCATAAAAACTAAATAAGCAGTGAAAGAAATGACAACACCAGATCCTCAATCTCTGGAACAATTATTACGTCCTCCGACCGGATGCAGAGAAACATTCGGTCGCAGGCAAAATCCCGCTGTACCGAGGTGTACCGAGTTTTTCGAAAAAAACTCGGTACACCTCGGTACAGCGGGATTTTGCCTGCGACCGGATGTTTCTCTGCATCCGGTCGCAAAATAACATAAATAAAAAAAAAAGAGAGAGAAAAGTGATGTTTACTGCTCGCAAAGATTAGAGAGTAATCAGAGAGATCAAAATTGTGATTAATATCTACTGCCTACTTGCAGAACTATGTAATCGAATAGAAATCATTTTTAGTTATGCCATGATCTAGGAAAAGTTTTCTATCTGTAAGAGCAAATAAAAAAAATTACTCTCAATATACTAGTTTTTTGGATCGATCCAAGCTGAAATCAAATATCATGTTTCATTTCAAGCTAGTTCTAATATTTTATTTGTCATAAGTAAGATCTTACATTTATTTTATGTACTAATATACATTTATTTTATATATTTTAATAAAAGAAATTGTAAAAGCTATAGTTAATGCTTTATTATTTTGTCTATATCATTGAAGTTTAAAGTTTTAGCTTAAAATACCTAATTTAGATATGATTCGATGAAAACATAAATTCCCAATAATTCAGAATTTAGAATAGCGAACCAAACTGAAAGAGCACGTTTTCAGCTTGTCATTATGTATTTTTTACATGTTTTCTAAATCACGGTGGGTTAAAAACTAAGACAAATAAATAACAAGAAACAAATTTAAAGTTAGCAGGATCACAAATATCATAATATGATCATTTCATCAAACTTATTATTATAAAAAATATATATATTGAAGAAAATGATACAAAACTTCAATGCCAAGTACATATTTCATGAATTAGTGTGAGCAACCTTACTTTACATAAGACTAAGAGGTCTGTACGTCATAAAGCAAAAACTGCTAGAGTGATAATATGAAGATAAATGCATATTCAAATTCAGAAAATTCATTAGCTCATAGATGACATTGACCTAAAAATGTGCATTTTGTCATCTTCATAGAGAAAACATACGCTTAGCCTAAACTTTGGAACCTTAAATTTTATACTTAAAAGACTTCTTGAATTGGGTATCTTGAGGTCTCCTCCAAATAATAAAAAGTCTAAGGCTTTGTTTGTGACAACTATCTTACTGCTTTCTAAAGCTGTTTTTTAGTAAAAAAAAGTAGTTAAATAAATTTTTGTACTAAAAAGCCAATTTACAAAGTAGTAATAAGGTTGTTCCAACGAAGCCTAAATTAATTGAGTCTCACATCTGACAAAAATTTTTATTTAAAATAACAAAAAAAAAAATTAATTTATTGGTGAATTATTGAATTCTCCTCCAAATAACAATAAATTTAAGTATTTTTTTACTTATAGAGATTTCTTGAATTGGAGAGTATGCATTATGACGTCTAATCTTTACATTATTCCGAATATAACTGACCAAATAAATTTAAAAATATGTATGAATATTGTTATTTGGTTCTTGTATTGTTGTATATATAAATTATGTCTTTACAAAATATTTAAATATGCTAAATTAACTCTTTTGGTCGGATATAACTAATAAGAGTTTAAGGTTTCGTTTTGGGACAACTTTTTTACTACTTTCTAAAATAAATTTTAAGTACAAAAATTTCAAATTGAAGAAATATTTGTACTAAAAATCTGTTTTAAAAAGTAGTAAGACAACTATTTCAAAAGAAGCCTAAATCTTCACAAATTCTTAGTATTCAATTTTCACTTACAAAATAAGGTTATGTTTGGAATGGCTGCAGTGTTTTACAAATGTGACTATGAAATTGTTATGAGAAAAATAATTTACTTAAAAAATAAATTTTTTTAGAATTATAATATTTCCAAATATTATATATATATACACGTATATATTCAAAATGTTCATTTGTATAAAAAATAATAAATAAGAAATTAAATGATCCATGGTAATGGATACTTTATTATAAAAAAAAAGTCAGGATTTTGATATTTATATGGTAATGGATACTTTATTTGAACTAAAATTTTTTATTTAAAAATTATTTTAAACAGCATTAAAAAATCACCTCAACCAAAACCTTAATAACAGTTTACATGTAATTAGGTAAGCCCTAAATCCTCCTCCACACATTATTCAACAGATTCTCTTCCACAGCTCAATAGATTCTCTTCCACACATTATTGAAATTAGATTCAATATCCTAAAAATAACATGCAAGCACCAAAATAACTAATTAAATAACTAAACCCTCATTAACTATTCTCATACAAGCTCTGAACCTAGACTAAAATCCATCCACATTCGAACCGTGGCAATCTCGTAATTTCAATAAAAATCAAGACCTATTTTAGGCAAACTATCACCAGTCAATAAAACTGGGCAATTCTGAACCATGGGATCCCACGCCAAACACGCTTCGCCTCCAATAAAATGCCCCCTTGCTTTTCATTTATTTACGAAAGTACTCCTCCTCTTTACATAAAAGCCAATCTCCCTCTTCCTTTTATGAAGACTTTTCTCCTGTGAGGTCCATTCAACAATCTTCAAAGCTCCTTTGAGGATCAAAAGAGAGGTATTAGCACGTATTTAATTAAGATATTAGTACTGCTAATGATGATTTATTGTTAATAATCAAATTATGATTTTTCCTCTATGCAACTGTCGCATTTATCAGAGAAATTAATGGCATTAAATCAGACCGCACAGTTCGCTTCCGCAGTTTTTTTCTTCGGTGTTTTATCTTTTGTTCTTGGAACATTTGCAGAATTGAAGAAGGTAACGGTCTTTTTCTTTTCTTTTTTTAATAATATTTTTCCTTTAAAAATGATTTTTTGTTTACATTTTTAGTGATTATTTTAATAAATTTCTTTGCATGTTTGTAGCCTGCAGCTGGAACGCCAATACCAGGAAAAGATGGTGTAATTTGTATATTTCCAAAGGATCCCAGTGTGGCTTTGGGGGCTTTATCAGCTATATCAGTGTTAATCTCTTCTGCTGTTGGTCTTTATGCCATTTATTTCCCCTATAAGGGACAATCTGTCCCAAGGAAAGCTCTCCTTGCAAGCTTAACAATGAAAATCTTCTATTATGGTGCAATGTAAGTGCAATTATCCCTCAATATTTACATAGTTGAATTACACCAATTACAACATCAAGCCGTTATCTTACTACGTGGGCCGGCTGCATGAATCCTTTTTCTCCATTGTGTCCTATTAAGAGTTAAATTCTCATTTCAATCTAATAAAGAAATATAATTTCTAATACTTTCTAACCAAGTTTTTTTAGGTCTACCTCAACCTTTCTTAATATATGCCGAATCTAATACATCTGCTATGTTAACTGGGTCATCAGAAGGTTGTCATCATTTTATGTGATCAAACCATGGCCATTTGATGCGACTCTTTCTAATCTTATCTTCCACTAGAGCTACTCCAACCTTTTCACATATATGCTCGTTTCATATCCTATCTCTAAGAGTAAAGCAGCTTATCCACCCAAGCATCCTCATCTCTGCACACTTAACTTAATATTTTGCTTCTCTTTAATTAATGACCTACATAGTTGAATTAAATTAAAAAAAATGAAAGTTTAATTGAAAATTTAAATAGTTTTTTTTAATAAAACCCACAGAAGTGCCTATGCATTAAACACAAGAAAATTACAAGACTTTAAGAACCTTCAATAGTTTTTTAAGCCAAAAAAACCTTCAATAGTTTTTTTTTTAATTTGTTGAAATAATGGGTTAATAGGGTTGTCAATGCTGCATTTATTATTGCTTAAATAAATAAAATGAAATGTGAAAGTATATTGTGATAAATAAAATAACTTTTGATCATTTTGTTATGGCAATTTACTATCAATAAATTGATAAAAAGTCTAATTTTAACAAATCTATTAACGATTTGGTCAAAGCAATTTACTATATATATTTAGAATGTATTGAATTTAATTTGAAGATGCCTCCATGAGATAACATAATTGGAATAGTGATAAATACTAATAAAATGCCATAATTACTATAATTGATCATTGTGAATAATTAAGCAAGACTATTAACTACATTGCATTAAACAAATTAAGCAACTAACTAATTTTCTTGCAATTGCATTTACATGAAAAATTTTAACTCTAGCTTAACTTTTTTTTTATTATTATTTTTGGAGTAGAGTCCTAACCATAACAGGAGTTGGAGCTACCCTCTTCAACACAATCAATGAAGGGCTTATCCATGCAAGAAATGTGCATGAAGATCTGGAATATCGTTGCCCAACTGCAAAAACCGGCCTCTTCGGTGGCGCATCATTCTTAAACCTTGACGCTAGTCTCTTCTGGCTCGTATGTCAGATGCTTGTTAGAAATGCTCGAGAGGATTACTTCGATTACGAGGAAGAAGGAGAAATAAAGGATGATTACATTCAGATTAGTAACAATTGATGACGAGAAGGAGGAGACAAGCATGATTTAAAGTCCCATGAGGGTGACAATGAGACCATCAATGTACATATATAACTAATTTCTTATTTATTCATTCCTCTTTTTTTCTTATTATGTCTAAACATTTTATTCGAAGTTGTTATGTAATGATGTTGTATTTAACTAAGTTGTGGATTCTTAATTATAAATAGTTAGTGTCTTAATGTATGCTTGGAGGATGGAATGATGAACCAACATATAAATCAAAGTAGATTGTGGAAATAAACCTAACAAGTTAATTATGGACCAAGAAGAATTTTATTATTTTTTGTGAAAGTAAAATAAATAATTAAGTGATATTAGGGTTTTGGTCTCCCTCAAAAAAGTTGATGGTTGACTTACGATAGGGCCCATATAAAATATATTGGATAGTTAAATTGCATTAGTAGGTCTTAGCAATGACAATCAAATAACGATTATTAATTAAAATATTTAATAGGTAGTCATGTATTCTGAGAGTCTTTATAAATCAAATTAATACTTTTTCTTGGGAGTATTAGGCAAACACACCTTAGATTGGTCTGTTGATTGGGAGCTTTGACTATTAATCAAGAGGTCTTGGATTCAAGTCTTCTGTATGTGTTGTGTGTGCGAGTTTGCCTTAATTGATCTAAATGTCCACCCTTGAAAAAAGAGAAAATAAATAATATCAAATGTTTATAAATTTCCTTTTTCCTCCTCTCGAACCTTGCATTTTATGATATCACCGACAAGCAAGAATTATCATTCATCTATTTTCCTTAATTATCATTTATTTTTTTTTTCAAAACTAGAAATATATTAAACCAAAAAAGAATTACAAGAGGCCATGAAGCTAAAGAAAAAAAGTAGAATAAAATACAAAAAGAACACAATCAAAAAAAAAAAAAAAAAAAAAAAACACAATCAAAAGGCTTAATTATCATTTATGATATATCATCCAATTCATTAATACAATCAATATATAAGATTATTCTATTAACTCTTATTAATCTATAAAAATATTCTCTTAAAAAAAAAACCTCTTACATTACTTACTTATAAAAGCTGTTAAATTTAATTTGTATATTTTATTTGAAGAAAATAATATTATTTATTCTTTGTACTAGGATGTTTTGATAGTAAATTAATGTGCAATCTTACAAAGATATTATTGTAAAAAGTATAAATACTTATCCAATAAAATCATAAAAGAAAATTTCAATAATTAAACATCAAGTGTTCGAACTCGTAGCATACTGAGTAGAAATAAATTTGAGAATTTTGATGGACCAATTTCAAGCACTCAATTTGCCCAAAAATTAAAATAAAAAAATAACATCAAATTAAATATCATCTTTTTCTCCACAAGTAAATGGAGATGAAAATCAGATGTTTGCAAGCAGCTTGAGATTCCTTTGAGAGAATAAAAGAACGAAGCCCATGGTATTTGTTGGGCCATTATCTTGGCCCGGCCCATAAACCATGTAAGATTATCGAGTGAATCTAACTATATTTGATCAACATTGAACCTTCTAGGGGAACTTTTATTCTATCCAGTGAACGTACACAGAGGAAGGTTTGGTTTTAGGCAAAAAGGTGTCTGTACCGAGTTTTTTGAAAGTGTACCAAGTTTTTACAGACGCTTTTTTGCCTAAAACCGAACCTTCATCTGCGTACGTTCACTGGATAGAATAAAAGTTCCTTCTAGGGTGGACTTCTTTAAATATTAACTTAACTTATTTCTAACATCTAATTTATTTTTATAATTCTACCCTCCATTATTATGATTATCACACCAATTAAAAATTCACGAACTTATCATTATGAGCTATAAAATAAGCATGCAAATTAATAGATCAGATGTTATAAAATTTTTAAATAAGATGCTTACGATAAACACTAGAAAAGATATGCCAAGTCCAATGAATTTGAGATATGAAAATAGCTCGCAAGACTATAATTATTGATAATACGAGTGTGTAAACCCTCTAACGAGAGCATTAATGGGTCCTAGAGCTTAGGTTCAAAGTAATAGAGAAAAGGAACAAGGAGACGCTTGTAAATAAATACAATGGAGTAATTAATTGAATGAATGTTTGAATAAATAGTATTGCTTCTTATATATGTTATGTTCATGCTGCCTATTTCATGAAATTTTATACTAATGTTGTTAAGATTTTTCATTAGAATTTATCTTATTATTGTGCTTTAATTTCTTTATGAATTTTATATCAAAGAGTTTTATGAGAAGGGGTGATTTTTATTATAGAATATATTATACTAACATCATCATCATATTAAGAGTTTGTTTTTATTATCTTCAAGTTAAAAAAAATTGAAGAAATTTTATATTTTTCACTAACAACATCCGTGTACGAAAAAATCACTATCATCAAGATAGAAAGAGTGTTAATTTTATTTCAAGTGAATGTGAAATGTTTGTTAGCATCATGAAAATAACTACGTTGCTCTACTCTATTTTCAAATTGGTCGGGATTGACCGATTTACGTAAGGATGGTAACATGCCTAAGATGCCCCCTGATGCAGAGCATCTTAACTATATTGTTCTTTAGGCATATTTTAATTAGTTTGTTATGTACTTCTTACAAGTATCTTCTAGAGTGTTATATTTAGCTTCTATAAGCAAGTATTGTAGTAGGGAAAGGCATTGATGAATATTAGCTCATTTTAAAGCTTTTGAAGCTTGTGACTCTTCTTCCCTGGATTGAGAGCCAAAAATCTTTCTTGCACGTCGAATCTTCCGACGATCCACTACATCACCCCCTTCTCTCTCCACCTTCCATGAAAGTTCTAATGCTAGAAATAAAAGTATGAATAATGATTTAGGCTTCATTTGAGATGATTTTTTTTATTACTTCTTAAAGCAGTTTTTTAGTACAAAAAATATAATTTTTGTACCATAAAGCTGTTTTAAAAAATAGTAAGAAAGCTGACACAAATAAAACGTTAAAGTGCAATAGTTAACCATTTTATTTTCAAGCAATTTGTGGAGGGTATCAACTTAGCAAGCAATTAACTATGAAATTCAAGAGGCAATGAATCAATGAGGTTATTGAACACTCCCCTCACCACAAGAAAATTTTATATTAAATTTTTTTTATATAATAAGGTGAGAGTTATTTCAGAAATCCGAATTAATCGAATAAGATAATGAGTATGGCTTGAGAGCAATATGAGAGGATTAGCTTCACTGGAGAGTTTCATAAAATATTATTTTTGTATTTTCTGTCAGTCTTATAAAATCATTATATCTCTGTTATATTAAACATCTTATTTTTTCAGAGGAGGAAGCATGCGCGCGAGTAGAGAGTTCATGGAGAGACATTTGTCAAGTGAACCATGACAATCGAGAGCTGAATATGTAACCATGAAAAATAAGGCTCCTATTTCAGAGATTGGCGATCTTCAACAAATTATAGTGGGCAACAATGCATTTAAAGAATAATATTAGGAAGAGATGTTGCGCACTGTTTCAACTTATATTTTGTTTGGGACGGATTTTTTACTGTTTCTTAAAGCAATTTTCTAACACAAAAAATTTAATTTAAACTAGAAAGCTGCTTTAAGAAGCAGTAAGAAAGCCGTCCCAAATGAAGCCTTAGACTTCATTTGGGATGACTTTCTTACTGTTTCTTAAAGCTAGTTTTTAGCAAAAAATATTAAAATTTTAATTGTACGTGAAAATTGCTTTAAGAAGCAATAAGAAAGCTATTCCAAATGAAACAATAATTAAAGTTCAGGAGAAAGATATCCTCATTAATTAAACTTCCATTCTACATGATGTTTATGCTATATGCATGCTGTCTATTTAGAGTTATTTGTATGATTGTGTTGATGATTTTCAAGTCGCATAGAGGTTTTCTATACATTTATATGTTTTTTCAAGAATTTTTATCTGTATGAACAATCAGGGATCATATATATACATGCAAAAGAATCATATGATGATGAGTATGATCCTCCAACAAAATGCTTGATTATCATGCATACTTGACATTTGCTTGTTATATATTGATAGAACAATTATAATTAATAACAACACTCAATATATACTTAAGGAAAAATTATATAAGATGGTGACGAGGCATGCAATACTTTATGGTGTTGAATGTTGGCTATTAAAAGATAAGCATAATACTAAGTTAAGTGTGGCAGAGATGAGGATGCTCAGGTGGATGAGTGGCTTTACCCTTAGAGATAGGATATGAAATGAGCATATACGTGATAAGGTTGGAGTAGCTCCAATAGAAGATAATATTAGAGAGAGTCGCCTTAGATGGTTTAGTCACATAAAACGGTGGCCTTTCGATGACCCGGTTAGGAGAGTAGAGGTATTAGATTTGACTTATGTTAAGAAAGATAGAGACATACCTAATAAGACTTGATTAAAAAATATTAGGAATGACCTTAATTTCTTTATTAGATTTAAACGAGAATTTGACTTTTAATAGGACACAATAGAGGAAAATGATTTATGTAGCCGACACCAAGTAGTGGGATAAATTAAGACTTGTTGTTGTTGTTGTTGTACTCAATAATTAATTAAACTTTTAATGATTTTTTGTTACATGATAGCTTAAATCTTAATGATGCACAAAATGTCTATATATTATAGGTCATATTAAAATTTTGGATGTTATTAAACAAATAGAAAAAAAGAATAGATTACAAGTCTAATAATTTTTAGTTGTGTTCATTGTTAATTATTAAGGGGTTGTTTGATTCCTTGAAAAAAATGAAGTGAAAAAAGAATGCAATGTACGTAAAAGAAATATTGTATAAATGAATACAATCGGATGGTGATGGGTGGTAGGTGGCGGTTGGCAACGGGTTAACGGTGGAGAAGGTGGCCGTCGGTGGTGGTCAAGCAAGCTTTGGAGTAGTAAGTGTAAACGATTCTCTCTCAAAACTGCTTGAGAATAATTTACCTGAAAAATGAATTAGAATGGAAAACACTACATTTATTTTACCTTGGATT